GTTTGGTTGTCCCTCACTAACCCCCCTGCCGGCCCGCCCGCCCCACGCAGCCTGCTGTTCGGTCGTTACTGTTACTGTGATGGTGTCCTGGACAATTAGCAGATTCCTCTATTATTAGTATAGACTTTCAGAGAGGAAGGAAGAGGGAGAGAGAAACATTGATGATGAGAGTCACTGATTGCCAGCCTCCTGCACGCCCCCTGGTGGGGATCGGGGGAGGACGGACAAAAATAAGAGATGAAGGGATGGCTCCCTGATCCCACAGCAGGTCCCCGGGCGGAGCTGAGAAGACCAGACGCTGAGACCGTTGTTTCCAGAAGGGGTGACACGTGATCGTCATCACGGCCGGTTTTTCCTTCGACTGGTTCTCGGAACCCCAGAGGGACTCGGCCGCTCCCGGGACCGCGTGCCGCTGGGAGGGGAAGGACAGACTCGGAACCCGTCAGACTAGCCTGGGACGTACCAATTGGGCATCAGGGCGTTGTCCTTGCCCCGGAACATGATCCCGACGTTCTCAGCGTGCTGCCGCGAGGAGTAGAAGTCCGTGTAGTCACCTGCGGAGGGAAGTCGCGGGAGAGAGAGCCCGTCGGGGACCCGGGCGCCTCGGGACAGAGAAGGGACGTGCCAAGGACGGGCTGACAGGAACCAGGTGGAGGAAGCAGGAGGGCCAGCTTCCTGGGCACCCCGTTCCGAGGGGCGGCAGGCGGGGGCACCCCCTCACAGCATTTGCACCGAAGCTCAGCACAAGATGGACACAAATGAGCCTAAAAAATGGTTTCAGCCCGGCCGGCGTGGCTCAGTGGTTGAGCGCCGACCTATGAACCAGGAGGTCAGGGTTCGATTCCGGGTCAAGGGCACACGTCCGGGTTGCCGGCTTGATCCCCAGTGGGGGGCGTGCAGGAGGCAGCTGATAAATGATTTCCTCTCGTCATTGATTTTCTCTCTCTCCCTCTCTGAAATAAGAAATATATCAAAAAATAAATAAATACCCGGCCAGCGTGGTCAGTGGTTGAAGGCCGACCTATGAACCAGAAGGTCAGGGTTCAATTCCCAGTCAAGGGCACATGCCTGGGTTGTGGGCTTGATACCCAGTAGGGGGTGTGCAGGAGGCGGCCGATGCATGATTCTCTCTCATCATTGATGTTTTTTTCTCTCTCTCCCTCTAGCTCTCCCTTCCTCAATTAGATCAATAAAAATATATTTTTAAAAAATGCAATCAAGCCCTAGCCGGTTTGGCTCAGTGGATAGAGCGTCGGCCTGCGGTCCCAGCCCAGAGCCCCTCCCACCAGAAGCAGGGACAGCCACGCCGGCCCAGGAGGCCGCCCCGGGCAGGGACTCACCGATGACAGCTGGGAGGTGCATGGTGGCCAGAGCCTGGGGGACCAACGCACTGAAACAGAGCCAGGGGTTTCAGGGTCAAGGGCGTGGCGAGGCGAGGCGCCCGCTCGGGGTGGCCACCCGCAGGCTCAGCCCAGCCCCTCCCAGAATCCTGTGCACACTGCCCGGTGACTGTCTCCAGGCCGGGCTGGACCGGGCAGGGGTCCACCCACTAAAGCTGAGATGCCTCCTCTCCGGCTCTGGGTCCCATTCTAGGAATCAAGCTAAATCCCTCAACTCTGGGAACCAGACAGGGACACGGAGGGCCCGGCTGGCGTGGCTCAGTGGTTGAGCATCGACCTATGAACCAGGAGGTCACGGTTCGATTCCCGGTCAGGGCACACGCCCGGGTTGCGGGCTCGATCGCCAGTGGGGGGTGCACAGGAGGCAACTGATCTATGATTCTCTCTCCTCATGGATGTTTCTTTTTTTTTGGTTTGTTTCTTTTTTCTATTTATTTATTTATTACTTTTTTTTTCATTTTTTCCCATTGATGTTTCTTTTTTTTTTGGTTTCTTTTTTCTCTCTCTTTTTATTTATTTATTTTTTACTTTGTTTTTCATTTTTTTCATCATTGATGTTTCTATCGCTCTTTCCATTTCCCTTCCTCTCTCTGAAATCAATAAAAATTTATTAAAAAACAAAACAAGCTGAAACCGGTGTGGCTCAGTGGATAGAGCGTCGGCCTGCGGACTGAAGGGTCCCAGGTTCGATTCCGGTCAAGGGCATGTACCTTGGTTGCGGGCACATCCCCAGTAGGGGGTGTGCAGGAGGCAGCTGATGGATGTTTCTCTCTCATCCATGTTTCTAACTCTCTATCCCTCTCCCTTCCTCTCTATGAAAAATCAATAAAATATATTTTAAAAACAAACAAACAAACAAACTTAGCCGTAGCCGGTTTGGCTCAGTGGTTGAGCATCGACCTATGAACCAGGAGGTCAGGGTTCGATTCCTGGGCAGGGAACATGCCAGGTTGCAGGCTCGATCCCCAGTGTGGGGCGTGCAGGAGGCAGCCGATCCATGATTCTCTCTCATCATGGATGTTTCTATCTCTCCCTCTTCCTTCCTCTCTGAAATCAACAAAAATATATTAAAAAAACAAGAACACACAAATGTATTAAAAAAAACAACAAACTTTTAAAAAAAGGACTGGCTGATGCTGATGAGGCAGGAAGAGGGCCAGTGGCACAGGGGTAATTCAGTTCCCCCCGGAGCCCTGCCACGGACGTGCAGCCTGGGCAGGGGCTCCCCGAGGCCAGGGCAGCCCCTGCGGTGACTGCGAATGGTCCCGGCTGTCACATCACCGCCACCCTCCCCTCCCCGCCCCCCGACACCCTTGCTCCTCACCGCTTGCGCAGCTCCGCGTCGTCTCGCAGCCTGGCCTGGCTGGCGGACAGCAGGTTCTGCAGGAAAGCTCGCGCCTCCTTCCAGGCGGCCTGGCCCAGCGCCATGAAGTTGTTGAGAGTTGGCTGAAACGGGGAAGAGAGGGAGCGAGAGAGAGAAACATCAATGATGAGAGTCAGTGATTGGCAGCCTCCTGCACGCCCCCTAGTGGGGATCGAGTGAGGATGAACCAAATACGCAACCAAGAATAGAGATGAAGGGACTGCTCCCTGATCCCACAGTAGGTCCAGGGCGGAGCTGAGAGGACCAGACGCTCTGTGGGATGGGAGAGAAGGTCACGTGTGGGACAGTGCTGGGCGGAGCCCCTCCTGCCCACAGGGGAGGCCGGGCTGCCCTCCAGGGCCCTGTCACTCCTCTCCTGGGCACGGCAACGTCCAGGACGCTCGCTCTTAGCTCTGTCGCCTGTGCATCAAGGTGGGGAGAGGGGTCAGCTCCCCTGGTGGGACTCAGCCCCTCACGGACTTGCACACACAACGGGCAGAGCCAGGAGCCGCTGTCGGGCCGCTTCTGGTGCCGCTCGGCCGGGCCCTGGGTGGGAGGTGGCTGTGTGGCTCCACCGGACACTCCAGTCTGCGGGTTATCACAGTCTATGCACACCCTTTCACGTAAGTTAAGAAAAGGTTTCTAGCCCGGCCGGCGTGGCTCAGTGGTTGAGCGTCGACATATGAACCCGGAGGTCACGGTTCAATCCCCGGTCAGGGCACATGCCGGGTTGCAGGCTCGATCCCCAGTGGGGGGTGTGCCGGAGGCAGCCCATCGATAATTCCCTCTCATCATGGATGTTTCTATCTCTCTCTTTCCCTCTCCCTTCCTCTCTGAACTCAATAAAAAAATATATATATTTTAAAAAGCACTAGACCTTCAGGGGAGTGAAGTCACACCCCACAGGTGTGTACCCTGCAGGCTGCCAATCCAGAGGGCACTGGGCCCAGCTGTCCCCCCCCTGCCCCCCCCCCCCGGGGCTGTAGGTCGGGCTCTGCAGGGCCACGGGGATCGAGGACACGCCATGTCCTACCTGAACAAAGACATCCTGGTGTTTGGAGAGGATGGGCCCGGTGAAGAGGTGCTTAATGACGCTCAGGTCCAGGATCTGGTCGCCGATGGCCACGCCAATCCGAGATCTCGGCTGGGAGGAAGGCGGCACGGTCAGCGCAGGGAAAAGCCTCGGCCGAGCGCGGCTCAGCGACCCAGAACGTCTGTCTGCTTAGGAACCCAAGGTCCCTCTGTAGAGGGACAAAGGGACTGGGTCCTTAGCACTGAACCCCGGCTTTCCGTGTCCCCCAAGGGGCTGATATGGCTGCAGTGACAGCTTTCGATGAGGCCCAAAGGCCCTGGAATCTTCTGGAAGGCCAGAGGCCAAGCCCCCACCCCAGCACTCTTCAGAGGGTGGTGGGAAGGGGCGATCTCCCCCAGATGTCCCTGCACATTCCCACAGGAAACGGGGGGGCAGGGGGCGGGGGAGCCTCGGGCCAGTGGCTGGATTGGTTGGAGCATCATCCTGTACAGCAAGCGTGTCAAACTCAGAGGCGAACGCGGGCCAAACAAACAAGGTTTGCGTGTATGTGGCCGCGAAAAAACAAAAGCTTCCGTTTTCATAGAAACATAGGTTTGTTTCGATGGAGACGTGCTGAATGCAAAGGGCTGAGATAAATGAGTCATCGTGAACATAAAGTAATAGAACGTTTTAATAAAAATCATTATTTTTTCTTGGACATTGACTGACCAGACACTGAGTCACTGCACAAATGAATAAGCGTCACGCAGATAAACCCATTTCTCTCCTTCTCCGGAAGCGAGGTATTTCCTGTTGCCACACCAAGCAGGTCAGTCCCAGACCAAGGACGTGGCCATCGGCTGCTAGAACATTCGCTGCCGGTGTCAGTGGAAAGAGACGGTGCGCCTGCACGTGAGGCGCGTAAAGGAAGTGAATGCAACTCGATGACAGTCATCCGTCATTAGCAAATGTTGTAGTTCGTTACTCATAATTATGTACAACAGGATATTGTAAAAATTAAGTGATGAAATTTTTATTAAAACCTTTCTTACATACCATTATATTGGCTGGGCTGCAAAAATACTCATTGTGGGCCACATGTGGCCCGCCGGCCGCGAGTTTGACATGCTTGCTCTACACCAAAAGGTTGTGGGTTCAACCCATAGGCGTCAACCAATCCGTGTCTTTTCTCTCACATCTATGTCTCTCTCTTTCTCCCTCTTCCTTCCTCTCCAAAATCAATAAAAGCAGCTCTGGCCGGTGTGGCTCAATGGATAGAGCGCCGGCCTGTGGACTGAAGGGTCCCGGGTTCGATTCTGGTCAAGGGCAGGGACCTCGGTGGCAGGCTCCTCCCCCGCCCGGGCCCTGGTCGTGTCGCATGCAGGAGGCAACCCATTGATGTGTCTCTCTCACATCGATGTTTCTCTCTGTCTCTCCCTCTCCCTTCCACTCTCCCTAAAAATCAGTGGGAAAATATCCTCAGGTGAGAATTAACAAAACATACACACACAAAAAAACAAAAACCACAAAATCAATAAAAGCAGATCCTCGGGTGAATATTAATAAAAAATAAAAACAAACAGCCTGGCCGGCGTGGCTCAGTGGCTGAGCATTGACCTATGAACCGGGAGGTCAGGGTTCGATTCCAGTCAAGGGCACATGCCCAGGTTGCGGGCTCAATCCCCAGTGTGGGGTGTGCAGGAGGCAGCCGATCCATGATCCTCTCTCATCATTGATGTTTCTCTCCCTTTCTCTCCCTCTACCTTCCTCTCTGAAACCAATACAAATATATTTTTAAAAAATAAAAATAAACAGCACCCAGCCCTGGCCAGTGTGGCTCAGTGGATAGAGCGCCTGCCTGCAGACTGAAGGGTCCCGGGTACGATTCCCACTTAGGGCACATGCCCGGGTTGTGGGCTCCATTCCCAGTGTGGGGCGTGCAGGAGGCAGCCGATCCATGATCCTCTCTCATCATGGATATTTCTCTCTCTCCCTTCCTCTCTGAAAAATCAATAAAAATATATTTAAAAAAAACACAGCAGGGGGGTAGGGATCTGCAGGCCACTAGCCGTCCTGCCAGGGGCGTTGATTCCAGAAAAAGCCCTTCCCAGCACCCCACCTGCCTCTGGCCACAGCGTCCCCCCCCCCCATCGCCGGGTGCTCCCCGAAACAGTGAGGACAGGACCCCCGGGGACAAATACCAGGGCCTCGCAGCCGCGGGGCTAGGGTTTAAGCTGCCCCCCACCCCCCCATTGTCTCTGGGTCCCCTGTGTCCCTTCAGCCTCTGCCCAGGCCTGGTGGGTGCTCGGCCACAGGCCGGCTGTCCTGGGTGGACGGAGGCACCGGCTGCAGGGTGGCCCTGGGGACACCCTGCCTTGGGGCCAAAGGTCACCCTGGGGGCAGGGGCCCAGGCGGCACCCTGGGGTGCAGGCCGGGTCCGGGGTTCTGCGGTTTCACCTTGAAAGCTGGGAGCAGGCGTGTAAGCAACATGACCACCAACACCCCCAAACGAATGGGGGTCCCCCTCCCCGCCCCCAGCCCCCCCCGCACGGGGCCGGTTCACCCCCGTTTGCCCATGAACCCGTCTTCAGGGCTCACGTCCACCCAAGTCAGGCCACACGGCGGCTTCCAACCGGCGTGCGTGTCGCAAGAATGTCCAACCGGCATGTCGCAAGGTTGGAAGGTCGCCGGGCCCGGCCGCGCGAAGGGAAAGTGGGGTTCCTGGCCCCCAAGGGCAGGGGAGG